GACACAAGCACTGATACTTCCCACAATAAAGCTGCCATATTCCTCCCGTTGCATTAGCAGATTCCCCTAGGGAAGATCAATTGATCATTGTTTTTTTATTAATCACATTCTAAATAATTTATGGGAATCAAATGATTTGAAGAAACTGAAACTGGGACAGAACAATTTCATTATTAAAGTATTGTTCTTCAACTTACCAGTTAGTCAAAACATACCTTCAGAGCTGGAAGACATTTTAATATCTCACATCATTTCTGCTTTGTACACTCTATATTGGGGGCTGTCAAAAGAATGCATAATAGCATGTGACCAAGGGGGCCCTCACACAGTGTCCCAGCTATGTCTGTTCCTGAATCAGATGACCATCTAGTCCAGGGGTGTCAAACTGGATTTCTTCAAGGGCCAGATCAGCATTGTAGTTCTCCACAGGCCGCCGGCGGGGGGGAAGGGGGGAGATGGGACAGATGTTTTCTGCAGCATTTCGCCAGCCAAAATGGGGCGCGGGGAGTGTTGTGTGCCCCCCATGCCCTGTTTTGGATGGCAGAGTGCTGCAGGCAGTCCAGGCCGAAAATGGGATGCCGGGGGGGGGCATGCACAGCCCCTGGCGCCCCTTTTTGGCTGCCAGAGGCACCGCAGGCCGGTCCTTTGCTATTTTCAGGCTGGCCCTATGGGCCAGATTTAAGCACCCCACGGGTTGAATGCGGCCCGCAGGCCTTGAGTTTGACATCCCTGGTCTAGACTATCATTCATGCTTTAGCCATAACACTGTTGGATTTCTCAAGGGTGCTCTTCTTGTTCTACATGGAAGCTGCAGTTGATCAAGAATGTAACAGCACAAGCAATGGTGGTAATGCCACAGTACGTTTATATGAGACTATTGCTTCTCAAGTTGCATTGTTTGCCATTAGACTCCCAGGTGCAATTCAAGGTGTTGATTATCATCTATAAAGCTTTTCATGGCATTGGACTAGGTTTTTCTCCTATCTCCCATGGCTCCTGCCCACCTGGTAAGATCAGGCAGAATCAGTATGCCTCTGGCCCCCTCGATTAATTAAACAATACAATCTGTTGGGACCCAATAGACTGTTTCTGCACCTGCCCTCTAGAATGTTTTCCTTCTCCTTTCCTGTGTGGCATAGAGTACACTGCATTCCTTCCAGAAGCTTATCAAATATATAGGTATGTTAAAGCCTCTGATAAGAGCAGCAGTCAAACCCAGAATTTTAGCTCCATTTTTCATGATGCTTGATGTGCTATCAAAACATGATACTGTTTCCATGGGAAATCACTTGCTTGTTTTATAGTCTGTATAGACCATAGCCGTGATGGCGAACCTATGACATGGGTGCCCAAAGTGGCATGCAAAGCCATGTCTCCCGACACACGCGGCCTTGCCTGTTTGTCTTCTGGGTTTCTGGCGCATATGCGAGTGTGACGATCAGTTGTCCTTCGCATGTGTGGCAGTGCCAAAAACCACTGTGCGCATGCGCGCCAGCCAGCTGATCATTGGGCGCACAGGTACGCTAGAACTCAGAAGTTCAGCTTTTCCGGAGTACGGCTGAGCATGAGCACACGTGTACGATGTTTCCATGCAACCTTTTCAGCACTCGGTGCCGAAAAGGTTCGCCATCACTGGACTATAGTATATGTCTACTATGTCTGGCAGCTAATGTGCCATAAAAACAAAACTGCTACAACCATTCAAAATAAGGGAGAGGATGTTTTGCCTACTTCTGCTCTTTGCTTGCCTTCCATGCCACAATGCCTATTTCTTTTTCAAATGCCAATTTGTAAACTAGAAATGTGTCAAATTTTATTTTCCTATTTTTCTTTCTATGCAAGAAGTTTCTTTAAAAAGTAAAGATATCGTGAAGTCAGCAAAAATGCTACTGTGGATATGTGTTCAAAGACATTCCCATAACATTCAACCTTTTATCTGATTAAATTCCAGTAAATCCTGGATCTTGGAAGCAAAGAAGCAAAGGAAGAGACGCTGGATGTTTGAGATTTAATCATTTTATTTTCTCCCCTCCCCCCAGATTTTAAAGTAGTTTTATCTGTTAATTGGAATTGCTGGAGATCTGGAGAAAAAAGCTGACAAGTTATAGACTCACAGGCAGAGAAACAACAGCAAAACTTCATTGGTAATTCAGGCAAAGAATGGCCTGTCACAGTGCTGAGCCAGAAATCATTAACTTTTTAAAATATAGGTAGTTCTCAACTTACAACAATTTGCTTAGTGACCATTTCAAAGACCATTCAAACGGCACTGAAAAAGAGACTTATGACCATTTTCACACTTATGACCATTGCAGCATCCCCATGGTCATGTGATTTACACTTGGATGCTTGAAAACTGACTCACATTTATGACAGTTGCAGCATCCCGGGGTCATGTGATCACCTTTTGCAATTTTCTGACAAGCAAAGTCAGAATCTGGCTAAATGAAACCAGATTTATTTAACAACCATATTGATAATTTAATAACAGCAATGATTCACTTAACATATGTGGCACGAAAAAGTCGTAAAACGGGGCAAAACTCACTTAACAAATTTCTCACTTAGCAACATAAATTTTGGGCTCAATTGTAGTTGTAAATTGAGGACTACCTGAAATAACTCAAGACAGCTAACATACCTAGTATTCCTTCCTCCTCCTCTTTTCCCCACAATAACCCTCTGAGGTGAACTAGGCTGAGGGCAGTGGTGAAATCCAAATTTTTTTACTACTGGTTCTGTGGGTGTGGCTTGGTGGGTGTGGTGTGGCCTGGTGGGCATGGCAGGGGAAGGATACTGCAAAATCCCCATTCCCTCCCCATTCACTCCTGGGGGAAGGATATTGCAAAATCTCCATTCCCACCCCACTCTGGGGCCAGCCAGATGTGGTATTTGCCGGTTCTCCGAACTGCTCAAAATTTCCGCTACCAGTTCTCCAGAACCTGTTAGAACCTGCTGGATTTCAGCCCTGGCTGAGGGAGAATGATTGATCCAAAGTCAATCATTTGGACTTGACTAGAACTCAACCTCTTGGTTTGTAATCTGGTGATTTAATTACTGGACCACACTATTTTTATGTGTTTTTTTTTTTTTTAAATAAACTGGAGTCACCTGTAACCGGACAACAAATTACTAAACTGGGGGAACAAATTAAATAGAAGAGATCCATCAAAAATATGAAAGGAAATTGGGACAACCATAACAGGAAATTGCAGAGACAATCCAAGCTATGAAATTGGGAAAAGCCCTTGTTCTTGATGGCTTTCCAACTGAGTGGTGCAGTACAGACGTTTTATAGACTTATTAGTATCTAAGTGTATTTTTCTCTTCAATGTGTTGTGTTTATTACTGTAGTTTCACATTGTATTTTTATGCTGTTTTTACTTTGTAACCCAACTATGTTAGTCTTCGGCAATCTATAAATCTAACTCAGTAGCAAAAATAAGTTAAGAGCGAAAAACCTATTAAGGCTGGATCTTAATGTCAAGAATTCATCTCAAGGCCTAACTTTACAGAAATCTGCCACATGACTTTTTAAAAAAAGAATAAAAGTTTTTTTTAGAAAAACTTTAGCCTAGATTACTTGGAAATGCAAAGATGTATACCAGATTAGTGTCCCTGGCTTCAGTGGAACGAATCGGCCTTAAATCTTAGAAGTTGATTTAACTGGATTACATATGAAGTTGCAAGTGAATTAAAAAGAGCATAAAAAGAGCTCGCTGGCACTGAGCAGTTAGAAACAAAATAAAACAAGCTCCTGGCTTTAACTCCATGGAACACAAAACAGCATCAATTGAACTAAGACAAAATGAGGTCAGGTGGGGTCACTGAGGATGAGAAGGACTCCACCCAGGACTCTGTCATATTTTTTTGCAAAGTAAAGCTGCAATCTTGGGCTTGATTTATTTGAGAATAAGTTGCACTGTGCTGAACTGGATTTGCTTCTAAGAAAGCAGAGGACAAAGCTGAAATACTGTAATGATAAACATGTTTATATATGTTAGAATCAGTATGACACACTGAGTAAAGTGTATCAAGCCAGACCTTGTGAATGCCAATAAATGTCATATTCCATATATATATATATTTTTTTTATCCCTAAATCTCATTGTGGCAACAGGAGCAACAGAAAAAGCATATATTGCTTGGATCATTCCAGAAAGTTACAAATTATGTTCTCCTCACGCTGGTAAAATAAGCAAACTGACACCTTGTCTGTTGTAGCTTCAGGATCTTGATCCCCCCCCCCCAGCAGAACCACAATTTAATTTAAAAAGGAACCATCAGTTACTAAAGTCTGAGGTGTAGCTCCCAGACAGTTGCAAAAGGTGTACACTACAGTCACAGATTTGTAATTTTTAATATAGCAAAAGAGAAGAATGATCAAACTGACGATTGTGGATTAATCAGGTTATCTATGTGTAATTTTAATTAAATGCAAATGAAATGAAATCAGTTTTATTTTTTGTCCTTGTCTCATTTCTGTTTTTTGGAATGAGGTCTGCAACATGGCTTTTGGCCTGGAAAATTTACTTCTCCCTGACTCACATAGCAAATCTAAAAAAGAGGGATCAGAAGCAAGAGATGCAATTACAATAATTCAGTACAGTAAACTTTTTTTATATATATAGTTTAAAGTAGTTTTCTATCAGCTTCTAATAAAGATACAAAACTATTTTTGTAAAAAATAGTTTTTGCTTTGCTTTTGTAAAACAAAATTCATACATGTCTTTAAAAAGTAAGCATTTAAATATATTTAAGTATAATGTACATTTTTAACTTTTTTTTTTTTTTGCAATCCTGAGAAATGGTAAATTTAAAGAATGAGATTTTTCTGCTACAGTGCGTGAGATCTCTTCTCATAAACTACATTTCCCAAAGTGTCCAAAGAAAAGAGAATGAATATTACTATCTATTTAACTCTATAGTGTTTAAATGTGTTATAGAAAAATATCGCAGATTAAAAAACCATATAAGGACAGCAACAATCAAAGCTTTACCTGATATAGTTCTATCCGTTGTTCTGATACACGAGCTTTTGGATTCTGTAAGCGGAAGACTCTAAATTCTGCTTTCACTAGATTGGAAGCATTTTTCTCCATCGCTGAGACATCAAATCTCACTCTTCTAAAGTACGGGTTTTGATTGCTTGTTGAGATGAAATCTGCAAGAAATTAAAATTATAAAGACATTGCTTTTTTTTTTTTTTTACAGCCTTCAACATAAGACAGACTTCAACCCCAGAAACAGTGACGGAAATGTCTGTAGGATGATACAACTTCCAGCAATCAATTTTGATATCATTACTGTTTAAGCGGATAAACAAACATATGTGTTTGGTTACAGAAACAGCAGATTAATAGTTATCAGAAAAAAACATGCCCAAGTTTATTTCAGGGCATGCATTTAACCCTATTCTTTGAAAGCAACTGAGTATTATAAATTGGAACATACTTATGATAATTATATTTTTTAAAATGACCCAAATAGTTCCTTAGTGGAACTAAAAACCAGTAGCTATTAGTTTGCAATGGCGATTTCAAACAGGAAAGCCCAACCTCCCTCAGTTAGGCAACCCTGAAATGTGCTGGGATTATATCAGTGGTGGGTTGCTCCCGGTTCAGTCCGGTTCTTATGAACCGGTAATAACGGCAGCAGAAGGCTCCACCCACCCTCCCGAACGTCATCATGAACGAACTGCGCATGCACAGAAGCTTCTGCGTGCACGGTCCCATTGCGAACTGGTAGCGGAGATAAGTAGAACCCATCTACCATCTGGTAGATTACATCTACCAGAATTCCCAGCCAAACTCAGTATGAGTGATCTCATTTGCATTAGAACTAACCATAAGTGGGAGAACCTATGTACAGTAATCCCCTGGAGAGCTGTTTGTTGCCTAACCTACAACAGTTGCTCAAATCTTTTGAGAACAAGCCTGGGGTTAGGGGATTGTTAAGCCTCTGTTAGTTTCTTTGTTTCTTTTCTAAGTATTGATCTATTTTTCCAGATAGAAGTGTATTTTTCTTCATTTTGTTTCTTATTTTTGTGATGTAAGCTAGCCAGTGTTGCTTGGAAGTTAGGTAGTTCTAAATCTAATGCAATAAATGTATCCGCAGACAAAGAAGTAAAAAGAAATGCTTGTCTGTACTTCACCAGCAATAGTTGTGGGGCAACTGAGAGCAAATATCTCAACTGACTTGATCGGGATGAATGAAGCAACAGAACCACACAATCATATCCTGTTTCTCTTTTGTAATTAGCCATAAGTATATGGTATCCACTATGGATGGGTTGGAGAAATACTAATCATTCCCCTTTTTTGCTTTGCTTTTAAAAATTAATCCCATGTGCCTCTGTAGACAATAATCAAAGCAGGTGAGCAGGAGTTGCAAGGATAGTCTAACTTTTTGACTATCCTACTACCTGTTTGGTCAGCCCCTTGAAATACTAACCAAAACATCAGGGTAAATGCCACAACAGCTGATGAGTTGTAAGCCCATAAAAAACCTTGGCCACACATTTGGCAATTAACTGCCCACAGAATAACTATTTCTAAACCATGAATGCATGTTCATGCACAGCCTAGCTCAGCAAACGATGCTGTGGTTATTGTGTAGTGAGAAAGTGCCAACTGAGGCAGCAATGTGGACTTCAAAATCTTCATAGCTTACACTGACCACAGCTTTCACCACTTGGAAAGTGGTGAACCATCTCTGAATAACACTTTCAGATTTGAAAACACTCAAGAAAAGGAAGCAGTTCAGCCACAGTCATACCCACTGAATAGTTTATTTTTAAAAAAATAAAAATAAAATAAAAATATAAATAACTTTAGATGTAAAAGCAGGTCTAGCATATTGCTACCCCGATTACAAAGAGAGGTCCTCAGATTCATTTTTAGGGTCTGTAGTTTGCAAAGATTTCAGAGAGCAGTGCTGAAAAGGCTCAGCGGCCCGTTACAAATCCTGGAGCCTAAACAGAGCAATGTCACTTTTCAGTGTCATATTCTTCTATGCTGTTTTGTAGCATTTACTTGCATGTCTTATTTTACACCTTTGTTAACTATATAACAAATTTAGGATTAGCCAGTGAAGTATTCCTTAACAGAATATCACACAGTTTCCACATTTGAGGTTGAGCTTTTCAAGATAAACACAGAAGTTACCAGCAATGAGTAGTTAACGGTACGTACTATATGCTTAGGGTCTGCAATCAGAAAAAAAAACCTCTGCCAAGTAAATAACATATTGATACAAATACTGAAAGTATAAATTATTATGAACTACATAATTAGCAGTATAATTATTGTATGTCCATTTATAATGATACATGAAATTTCATTAGACTGACAAATATCCGTGGTTGAAATGGAAATCAGATTATCAGAAAATTGCAGATCATCCCCATGTATTTTCAATTACTGTTTAAGGGCAGAAAATATCAATCATTTAAAGAAAAGACATTTATTGAAATCAATCAATCACTTTATCCATACTATTCAAGTGATTTCTGTACCACCTTTTGATTGATGAGATTATTCATTAAAGTGTCAAAAAGATATTTGTTTAGCAAAAATCCTTACTGTTAAGAATCTATTAAAGGGATTAAGCTCTGCTTGTTCTGAGAGATCTCTTAGGAAATGGGCAATGCTGGCTGGGGACAATGACAATTTAATTTCATATGTCTGGAGAGCTACTGATTGGGGAATCTGTCTAAAACAACCCTTTTATCTTTATTAAAGGTGAACTCATAATACTTACAGAAATTGGTTAGCTATAGTTCATCATTTTCTAAAAAATTCCAAAAGCTGAGGATTAATATTTATTAGATTAGTATAAACCAGTTGCCAGTGGGCTTTTCACACTTGTTAAGTTCAAGATGTATGGACTTCCAGAATTCTCCATACTGGCTGGGGAATTTTGGTAGCTGAAGTCCACAAAGTTGCCAAAGTAGGGATGATTATATTGGTTCCATTGAGAATTTGAGTTTTCCTTTACCTACTCTGGCGTTCTTGAATAGGTCATCACTGAATTGATCATTATCAGTTGGTCATGTCGCCCAGTAGGTAGTGTCTCTCAGTAGGTCATAATCATCCAAAGAAAAAAGAAATCCTATTGGATTTTCTTAGTCCTTGTCAAGGTCAAACTGAAATGCCAGGTACCACATCCACAAGATTAATAAACGACTTTATCCGAAAGCTCAGCTAATCATTTCAACTCATTGAGACAAAGCTGAAAAACTGAGATTTCTATAAAATAATTTGTGCAATTGAAGAGAGAATTCTTTGGTTCACTGGTGCAATAGGACTGGATGTTTTGTTAAAATGATTTATTGGGTTACGGATTTTCTGTCTTTACTGTGAGTTGTATTGTTTGTGTGGGGTACTCTGTGGGAGCTCAACCAATCTCATTGTACATATGTTGTGGACTGACAATAAAGATTTGAATTGAATTGGGTTACCGTCCAGTCCCAGGTTATAATTCTGGGTACTCCATAGAAATCATATTTAAAGTTAACATTCTCCTTCCCAATTTTTTTTTTTAATTTGATTTATATGCCGCCCTTCTCCGAAGACTCAGGGCGGCTTACAATGTGCTCAGCAATAGCCTTCATCCTTTTGTATATTTATACAAAGTCAGCTTATTGCCCCCACAACTGGGTCCTCAATTTACCTACCTTAGAAAGGATGGAAGGCTGAGTCAACTTTGAGCCTTGGCGAGATTCGAACCCTGCAGTAATTACAGGCAGCTGGTCTTAATAACCAGCTTAATAACAGGGTGCCTTAAACCTGTGTACTACCAAGGCTGTGGGAACTATAATAGGCCCCAGACTCAGCCAAGTTCTTGAAGCAAGGGGCAGGCTGAGGTTTGAGGGTCAAGGACAGTGGGCCACCTGGGCAGTGAAAGCTGATGGAGTAGCATGCTTATATGGCTCCTGCACTCCTTGGTCTGCTGACCCCATGGAGCCAAAGGGGAGGAGGTCTTTTCAAACTAAGTTTGCCGATCCTTATTCTATATCCAGAAGTAGAGTCATCTGCCACTTCCTTTTCATTTACAATACACTGCAAAGTGTTATGTTCACAGACATTTGGAAAATCTGCCCATTTCACAGGAATAACCATAGTTGAAAATGTGCTCCATTTCAGCTTTAAATGCAGCTTTCCCCCCGTTTTTCTTTTCTAGAGTGCCAGACGCATCAAACTTTCTTTGATATGTTGTCCTAAATGAGTGGAACTAATTCAATAGGTTTCCTGTTGCAGGGAGATATAAACAACTTTTCTTATTTGGAAGAAAAGGCAGACTATCCAGGACGACCTTACTGATTTGCTTAGTCTCTCTTTAATATGTGTTAACAGGAACTGAGAGCAATCAAATCCTTCCCATACAGGTGGGTAATAACCTTCCTTCCTACCTTCCTTCCTCTTTGCTGAACCTTATTTACAGCAGCCATAGGCTGGGTTTGATGCTCTGTGTGAAAATGTGTGACTACAAATATTTATAAGAGTCACTTGATTGTGATTAAAAGTTTTTGTAATGCTCTGGCTCCCTTCCCTAACCCTCTGTCTACTAGGTCTGTGTTAAGTTATTTAAGTTTCATCTGATAACATAAATTAATTAAAGCAAACAAAAAAGCACAATGAGCACAAACTAGTCCCTTCTGCTCAGAGAAAAGCCATTCTTCCTGGCCTGTTTAGAGTTTCCTCCCTGAACCACATACGGGCTTCTGTCCAGAAGTGTCTCCTCCCTGTTATGAAATGTGGTAACTGACAGATCTGCATGGAAAGCAAATCCAAATGAAGCAGTTATTAGTTGGCCACTGAGTGACTTTCTGGCATGATCCCATGCTCTTTTGTTGCCCAGAGAGCAAAAATGTCAGGCTTTCTCTAAAAACAAAACAAAACAAAACAAAACAAACACAACACAACACAACACAACACACCACACACATGGCCTCCAATTGGAATCCCAATCCATGCCTAAGTACTACCTTCTCTCACTCCTATCTCTTTTGATATTCTGATGTAAATGTATCATAGAAGGACAGTTGTTTCAGTCTATGGCACTGTGTCTCAATGTGGGCAACTTTAAGGTGTGTGGACTCAGCTTCCAGAATTCCACATGCTGGCTAGAGAATCCTGGGAATTAAAGTCCACACCTTAAAAA